GTCCCGCTGCCGGGCCCGGCCTTCCCGCGGGCTCGCGCGGTGGATGCGTGCCCGGGAGGCGTGGAGGGCGGTGATCGAGGACACAATTGACACGAGGTCGCACCGTGCGGGAAGGCGTCTGGGGGCTCCTCTCCGCTGTTCCCCCCATTCCCGCGCTCCTAAGGCCGTGGACGCCCGAAAGGGCCGATCCGGGAGCCGAGGCTGAAAGCTGGAATGGGAAAAGGGAGCTGCTCCATTTCGGAGTTCCACCCCCCCGTGACCGCCCCCTGCCCGCGGCCGCTGGAGAGGCAAGGAGGGCGGAAGAGAAGAAGACCCCTTGCCGGTCTCATCCTCGGTAGGACGTCCGAGGTGTCAGCGCTCGCTTTCTTACCGAGAAGCCGCCTTGCAGAATTTGAGCTTAAGGAAGGCAGCTGCTGCATGGCTCTTCTGAGCATCAGGACAAGGCTCGGTGTGCACAACTGGCGGAGCTACTGGTCGAGGAGCCCTGCTCGCTATTCGCATGCACTGAGGAGGTTCAGGGAGAGGTTTCGGGCACTTTGGGTGTCATGTGGCAGTGAGGGGCAAGCAGGAGTGAGGACCTCCAGAACCCCCAGACAGGGCGACTTGCTGCCACCCTTTGCTAGACATATCCCCAGAGTCAGGAGGGAACTCCCGGGTCATCCCTAATCTTGCAGATTCCGGAGCTCTGCGAAATCCGTCATGGCCCCCAGCAGGTCTGATTCTCTCTAGCCCGTCATCTGGGGCCACCCAACTGCGGACATCTCTGGTGCCCATCAGACCGTCTCAAGGGCAAGCAGAACAAATCCACTTCCCCCAAAGAAAATGAAGTGGCTAAGCGGGAGGGGAGTGAGTGGGTGGATGAAGCACGGGACCCTTGCCCTGTGGTTCTCATTCCGTGGTCTGATGCCTCCTGCTTCTTCCTCTAAATGACCCGGGAGTTACTTGGAGCCACCGTTTGTCAAATGCCTGGACTCTGACTTCAACAGATGGACCAAAGCCAAGGAGTGAAGCTCTTTAGTGAACTGACTGTTCCCCAAATGCCAGATGCTGGCAGCATCACCCAGAGATCTCACCTGGAGCCTGGGGACACAGATGGGAGCCAGCCCCTTCAGACTTCACTGAACTCAGTGTTATGCCCCCAACCCAGGAACAGCAGCCAGCACCAAGGGAGGAGGAGAGGTTGTCCCAAGAAGGAACCACGGATTCACAGGGCAGGCTGGGCTCAGGTGCTTTAGCTAGCAGCCCAGCCAGTGACACTACTCTGGTGGCCCAGACCCTCTCTCAAAGCACCAAACCAGCCCTGTAACTGGCTGGGGAACCAGCTGTTGAGTGTTGGGAACCTGTGCTCACCCACTGCTCTGCGCAGTGCAGCCCTAAAGCAGCTAAAATGCAGGACCAAGACTGCTAGCACGCAGCATCAGCTGAGTCCCCACTGCCCAGCTCTGCTCCTTCATAGAACCAATACCTCCCTGCAGGCCGTTAACTCACTCAGCTCAGAAGTTGTCCTTACTTTGCCTTTCTTCTGTAGTTACCTAACCACAGGGGTTGAGTCAGAGCACCTGGGTTAAATCCTACCTCTGATTCCTTACCAGGTGATCTCAGGCCTACTTAACCTTTCTGTGCCTCGATTTCTTCACCCAGAAAACAAAGATGCTGCTATCTCCATCGAGTGGATGAGTGGGATCATTCTTCATTCAACAAACATGTATTGAGCACTCATTAGGTTCTCGTAGTGCTGGGTGCCTTTCCAGATGCTCAGAGCAGCTCTGTGAACACAACCTCGTAGGAAGGGTGGGGTGAGGACAGCACCTGGCACAATCAACTCAGTGATCTGCTGTGTAGTCTGTGCTGCAGAATAAAGGCAAAGCAAAGCAATGTCACCAGGTGACGGTGCTGGGTCACAGGATAAGGACATCAGGGCGGGCTCGTCGCAACACAGTGATGTTTGAGATGAGGGAGCTAAGTGCCAGCCTGGGTGACAGCAGGAAGCCACTGTGACAGCAAAGATGCAAAGACCCTAAGCGGGGTCAGGGGCAGCACAAGGAGGTGGGCAGTGAGCCAGGAGAGTGGGGTGTCAACGCTGGGGAGGCACTGGGGCCATAGGAAGGTGCTTTCTTCTGCACCAGGTAGGCTTGTCAGATGCCCACAGATGAAGCACCAGATGTGGAACCCTTTCATAAACCTTGTGGGAGGACCACCAGCTGTCTCACAGCCAAGGTGCGTGCTTGCTTGGTTATCATGTTATTGCTGCTGATTAAGTACGCTTTTATGACATGCTTGCTATGTGCTGCTGACTGTTCCATCCTTGGGGAGACCATGGTGGACAGAAGATCCTTGCTTCTGGAAGGGGAGTCAGATCGTAAGTAAATGACTCTGTAGTATAATGCCGTTGATGATAGATACCATGAAAAATAAAACAGGACGAGGAGAAGTCTGCCGGGGTGGTCAGGTAGGACCTCTATGCAGTGATATTTGAGCACAGAGCAGGTGGAGGGCTAGCACAATAGAGGTATGTGTGAAGAGTGTTCCAGCAGAGGGAATAGTGCTTGCAAAGGCCGTGAGGCAAGAGTTCACGCCCCTTGGAGCAAGAACAGCAGGAACACTATGGCTGGAGCATAGTGTACCACATGGCCCTATGGGCCCATCTTTCCACTGTGGTCACTGCAGGTGGGTAAGCAGGGACCGCAGAGATGCAGGCGAGAGATGGTGGGTAGCTCTCTAGTGGGCTGGCGGAGGCAGTTTTGGTAGGCACGGCTGATCCCCCCTTGCTGTGCTGCATGGCCTTAGAGTCCAAAGCTGTGCTTGGACCCAGCTGGGTGACTGGGGTGGGTCTATCTAGTGTATAGCAGACAGAGAAGCAGGTTTCTGGAAAGGTGTGGGACACATGGACTTTGCTCTCACTGGTCTGAGGTATGTAAAAGACAAGCAGCAGTGACTGTCCTTGGAGAAAGCTGAGGCTGGAGCGGAAATCTGGAGTTGAAGGGCATGGCAGTTGAGCCCCCTGGATGGAAGAGGGCAGGTAGAGAAGCAGTGGAGGACCAACCTGGGGCAACACCAGCTTTGGAGACTGGAAAGGGGGGGATGGGAGGAGCAGCCACCCTAAGGCGCTGGCACCTCTGAGCCTCGGACACCCAGACAGGGAAGTGTATTTCGAGATAGAGGGCTGGTCGGTGGGGCAAGGGTGGCTGTGGGGTCCAAGGAGGTGAGGAGCACATGCCCACAAGAACACTGGCCCTGGGCTGGGCTAAGGTGCTGGGGCTGCTGGGCTGGAGCACAGTTTGGAGACAGAAGTGACAGAGTGGAGATGCTGGGTGGAGAAAAGTGGCTGTGGTTGAGGGGACATTGGTCACGTCTTAAGGATGGGAGGAATCATAGTGTGGCTTAAAGGACGAAGGGGCTGGGCAGGTGTCAAGGCCCAGTGGGCAGGAGGGATCTGGGGTCTAGGGCCAAGGGCATCAGGGAAGGCTGTGTGAGATGAGTCTGAGGTGGCCCTTGAATGCTCAGATGCTGTGTGAAAGTGAGAAGGATGGTGTCAGGGCTCATTTTATGCCAACCAGGCCAGGCCACGGTACCCAAGCCTTTGGTCACAACCAGTTTGGATGTTTCTGTGAAGGTGTTTCTTAGATGATATTGACCTTTAAATCAGTAGACTTTGAGTGAAGCAGACTGTCCTCCGTATTGTGATGGGCCTCGTCAAATCAGTTGAGGGCCTTAAGAAACAAGACTGAGGTCCCCAAGGAGGAGGGAATCCCACCTGTAGTCTGCCTTCAGAGCAGGGATGCAGCACCACCTCTTCCCTGCGTCTCCAGCCTGCTGGCCTGCCCTGCAGATGTCACACTTGCCAACCTCAGTCACATGAGCCAATCCCTATGTCTCTAAGTCTCTCTCTCTCTCTCTCTCTCTCTCTTTCTCTCTCTCTCTCTCTCTCTCTCTCTCACACACACACACACACACACACACCCCATATCTGTCTGTTTCCCTGGAGACTGCTACCCCATACACAGGGGCCTCAGCTGACAGGGAAAAGGCATGTGACATGCTCATCTTGCAGAGCGAGAAGGGGAATGCGCTGTCGCAAAGGAAAGAATGAACACAGAGTGAACTGTGGATAGTGAAACACGGTGTGTAGCTGTCCCAAACTCAGTGTCACACACGGGAGGGCAGTGATACTACTCCACCCTCAGACGAGGGCAGTGCTCCAGAGACATGCTTACATGTGAAGATAAACCGCCCTGCCGTTCAGCCCGGACCTGCACACCTGCCTCCCCTGGGAACAGGTTAGAAGCAGGACCCTCGGGCAGCAGACCTGTCCTGCACACTTAACCAGGCACTGGAGACCTGAGAGTTGTGTTTTGCCATTAAAGACGCTGTGCTGTTTGGCATGGGGTCTGAGTGGGGTATACCCATACCAGCAGGCT